GTATATATGGCTTATCTGGGGATGGAAATCAGACAAACTACTTGGGATAATGATAACCTCCCTCATTATAACCCCTTCCTAATTGTCAGCTTTTTGCAGTTTATTCCTCCCTTTGAGAACAATTTTCTCATATGTAGTGGCGTGTGATTTTGCTCCAAAGCTTCCTGGTATGCATTTTCCTTAAGGCATGTGTCAAGAAATAGTCAACACCTGTGTTAGTGGATTGAGGTTTTGGATGTAGATGGGCAGTTTTCCATTTGGCTCCCCTGGCAGAGCTACTTTGACAGACAGCTACGTAGTCCCTTGCTGAAGGAGGGAGGTAGTAAGGGGAAATAATCCAAGGTGACTGACACAGCTCCAAATCTAGTAACTTGTTTTGGATGCGCATGTTCTAATAAAGTTTAGCACAAGTTTTCTGAGCAGCATGATGTAAAATGATACAAAATGCTACACTTCCAAGAAAGGAAACTCCTCTTCAGAAACCCCTTTCTAGCCCAGGAAAACTGTTGCTAGTCATTCATTAGGAACAAATGGCTGTTGTTGGAAGATACTTTCCTAGGTCAGTAGGAGTCAGAATATCATGGCATGTGGGTTGTTTTTCCCCATTTCAGGTATTTGTTTTTCTCCAGGCAGGGGAGGCATTCCTGCCAAATATGTGTGCCACCGCTCGTTTTCTGCTACAGCTAGGTGGAAATGCTTTCAGAATGAAAGATCTTTGTAAATCAAGGTTTAAACAAACAAAAAGAAACAAAATCAGCCAAAACAAATTCTCAAAACACCCAGCTCTCATGTGGTCAAAGAAGCCACTTCTTGGAGTAAGCTGACTTGTTTCGTGTTTGATCCCATATGGAGTTACGGAGGGAAACCATTCCTCGAGTGCTTTTGTTAAATAAAGCTGTTGCCATGAATTAAGCAACGCTGCCCTGGAATGTTTCTGATCATGGTCTTGCAGAGCTTGTGACCTTTGCACTGAACATGTGAACTGAAACTTCATCTTCCAGTGTTCAATAACCATGTTAAAAATTCAGAGGTGAGGCAGTCTTGGGATTTCCTTAGGCTAGCTTAAATGCCAAGTGAAATTTAAGTACCGATTTATACAGTTACTCTTCCTTTTCTTTTTTTTTTTTTGGTGCTAAGTCTAAGCTACAGTTTATATTACAAATCTGAAAATTCTTTATCAATTAAAAAGACCTCCACGATTGCATAGACAATGTCTTAAAATGCTTTAATTTATAGAAGCCTACTAAAGCACTAAAATATTACCACTTTCTTGTCTAGATGAATTCAATTACTCTAACTGGAATGTTGTTGTAGTATACTACTACTGCTTCTTAAGGTGATTGCTTTGGCCAGGAGCTGGTTGTAGTGCCTGCAGAGTTTTAACTGGGCTGCAGCTGAAAGGGGGAGAGAATCAGCTTAAAAACTCTGCCTCTTGCAGTCCATCACTTTGATGCCACTGGACTTCCTCCCCAAATAGAATGCTATTAACAATTAGTCTTTTTCCTGTTTACCAGATAGGAACACTGCCACCTCTTGGCTACTCACCATCCTGACCTTTCTGAAGAACTTTGTTGTTTTCTTGTGAGGTTTTCTGGTGCAGCGTTCCTGAATAATTAGGTGGGGTGTAGCAAAAGCCGTAATTGTATCATATTGTTGACTTGAGATTTTGTATGGAGATCCTAATAATTGTGCATTCTACCCTGGCACAAAAGAAAGATGGAATATTACTTCTGGTGAAGTGACTTTCAATTCTGACCCACTGCAGTATACATCCCTTAAAAATATACTAAGTTAAGACGGACTTCTGCCCTCGTTAGATGAGCTGACCACACAATTTGGCAACTGTGCTGGCATCTGAAAGTAATGTCTGGCACAAAAGGGATTCAGCCTTTATGCCATTAAAAGGAAATTGACAAAGTATTTTCTGCTGATCTTTATTTGGTTTTGATCAAAGCTATGTTAAAGCAAATGCTGAATTCTACAGTTGGGGGGGGAAAGGCTGTGTTGATTCTGACCTTGTTTCTATTATTAGTTTTAGTGAAGCTGACTTCAGTAGTAGTTTAAAATCTTGCAGCTTCAGGATTCCCTATATTGTGGGGGCTTATAATAGTTAGCCCTGAATTCCAGAACACTTCCCAGTTAGGAGGGAAGTTATGCTTCTACCCAAAAGCCTTTTCTTGCTGTAACCAGCTTTGTCTTTTTCATGTTTTAAAATGTAAAAATCCTACCACATGTTTGTCTGGCTGTGCAGTGAACTTAATTCCCAAGAATACACACAGAAGGGTGACTTCTTCAGCCCAGTAACAAACAAACTGAGCCTTGAGGAACACCCCTAATGCTGGCTTTTACTAACAAGCCAGTCCAAGGAGTGCTGGGAAGAACTCCTGCTGAAACCTGCCCATGTGAGAGAGAAGTCTGAGTAGCCACTTCTCAGAGGACTTTTCCTGTAGAAAATTCTGGTGCAAAGCAGTGGCACCCATAGCCCAGAGGGCTGTAATACCAACTCGTGCAAGCCCCACCTCAAGCAGTGAGTTTTAGCAGAATGCAGAAACTTGAGAGAGAAACAAGGTGCTTACAGAACATGAGAGGACTTCAGTGGTTGAGTGGGATTGTCAGGATGCTAACAACATCCTGACTCCTATATTAGCAACTGGAATTAATTTCTTTGTGTGTAAGTTAAGCTCCATAATGGTAATGGAGGATCTGGGTTTCCAGCATCTGTTCATAAGTTGCATCTCAAAACCCCTTCTCCTTCCTACACCCCCTATCCCAGCCCCTTCAGGTGTGGGGGCGGGAGGTCATGGTAGGGAAGCGGCTTTGTGCTGTTATATCCCTGTTTATGTACATCTCAAAAATGAGGCAGGTGTAAATCCAATTTCCTGTGATTGAATTGTCAAATCTAACTCCTGAGATGGTGGCTTGGAGTCTCTTGTGGGAGAGCCTTTTATAGAAGAACCAGCATGACTGGCATGAGAAGGAGAGTAAGGAAGAGCCTGGCTTCCTCATCAGTAGGAGAGGACGGGGACCTGGGGTGCCAGTCAGTACTCACTGGCTCTTATTTCATATAAATAAATGACTTTAAAAAAAACCACCAAAAAACCAAAAGACACAGAGTCTTGTATTACTGCAGTACAAACTAGAAAATAAGCTGCAGAGCTTTAAAGACCTTTTGTAGCCGTAGCAAATAAGGCTTCACTGTGCAGGCTATATGCTTCCTTCTTGCAGATTTTAGTGAAGTAACAGAAAAGGGTGAAAGTTACTATATGAGCTCTTTAAGCCTTCCTGTCTGCCTTCATGAATCAAGGTTTAGAACTGCTGAAATTTCATTATTGGATTTAAATGACAAGTAATTTGATAGTCTGGAAGTTACTGAAATATTTTTGTTTAGCAGAAAATCTTCTGTGATGTGTTTAATTTTGATGGCATACTGATTAAAGGTGTATTTTGCTGTTGCTGTGGCATTAATGAAAATACTATTTAGTGACTATTTTTCAGCTTCCTTAGTGCAGAGTCAGTTGCACTATATAAGCAGTAGTGACAGATTTTTTAAAATGGAGGCTTGCTGGAGGGAGGAAGGATTGGCAAATATGTGATGCATCTAAAAATTACTGGGAAACATTAATTTTCAGAAGTGTTTCTGTAGTGGCCGATTCATTAGGATAAAATGTTAACGGAATAGTTTGTGGCTAATTTGTGATAAAAGTGAACAGATAATGGAAATTTCAATGGAAATTTCAGGATTGCTCGAGGCTATTATGATGGCTAAGTATTTTGCATGGAAGAACAAAAACCTACCTTAAGGATTTTTTTCAGCCTTTTTGACAAAGCTTAAGAGTTTTTAACATCTCAAAACATGTTTGACCTCCCCACCCTTAAGCCATTTTGACACTCTTTACCATTGCATTTCAACAGGAAAGAAAGATCCTTTTTATAGCCAAATGGCTTCCTCCTTCTCTTCTGCCTCTTTCCCCCTCCATCCCCCACCCCAGAGAGCCTTTCTAGTGCTCAGGCTTCAGCTGCTGCCTGGATACTGGCTACATCTGTCTTGTTTAGATGGTCCTAAGAAAAAACAGCACCGAATGTGACCGGAGGGCCAACAACAAGATATGTTTCTTTTCAAATTTGAAAGGAAGCCCTGCACTTGCTTCTGTCTGTTTCTCTAAACTGTTTTTAAATCAATCATGGCTCTTGCTGGTAAATGCTTTCAATCCCCTCCCTCCCTGAAATGGTCAAAATCCAAAACATTTGAAAAAAGTCTAATGAGTTAAACATGGTGGTGTTCACAAGCCTGTTTCCCCTCATACAGCTTCCAATTTGATGAAAATGGGCTCTTGCTTTGACACAGCCATTGGGAAGAGTTTCTAAGAGGATAGTGTGACTCTAGGTGGAATTTGGAGGTTTGCAAGTCCATAAATACTTACACTGTATGGCAGACTGGGCTTTTGTACTTGTGTTGAAAGGGAGAGCATTAAAAACTGATTTTGGACCTAAGCAGTGCTTGATGATTTGTGGTGAAAAAGATGGTGACTGTCAGGGAAAGAGTAATTATGTGGGGCAGATGGAGGACCGATTTTGGGGGGAATAATCTGATACTTTTAGAGTGCAGGATTAAGGCTGGAACAATGACAGTCTCTGCCAGTCAAGAATGGAGTTACAAAAATGTGGGGCGGTGGTTCTGTTTTTTTAAAGGTTCATCATCTGGGGGGGAAGCCATGTAACTTGATCCTGTTCATAAAAGTTAGCCATAGCTAAAATGGATTTGCCCATGTGACAATATCTTGTTACACACAAAATAGGAGGAGGCTGTGTTTACTGCATGGGAACACGCTGATGTTTTTGCATCACAACCTCTGTGTGTGTCTGGCTGGAGGTGCTAACTTTTGGTTAGTAGTGCCTTTACCACCCGCCACACTGGAAAATGCATCTAATGAACTGCAGGGAACAGGGGAGAAACAAACAGTAAAGAAATTGCTCTTTTAAGAGTTCCTATTATCCCTTGATTAAATAATGGTTGCTACTACTTTTATTGGTTAAGGAACATATTAGCCATCTCATTTTTAATAGGCTTATACTGCAGCGAATAGCTCTGTGTATGAGCTCTCTTATTGCTAGCTGTGATATTTTTAGTCATGAAAATAAGTATATAGGAGATGCACCCTAAATAGTTGGCATGTTACTGGTGTGACTTGGGAGTCCAAGAACCCAGTCCTTTAAATTCTGTGGAAATGTTGCTAGAGTGAAACTGTTTAGTTTCAGCATTTCCTCTGTAGTTACAGTGCTTGAACTTTGGAATCCACTTTCCTGGCTTTTGTGTGGGGAGGCAGAGCAAAATGGATGTTTGCGCTGAACTCAGCACATGCACTGAGCTTCAGATAACAGTTATTTGGCTTTTTAACATCCTTGTATTTGTCATGTTGAGCCAGCCACACGGGGTTGTCCTGTGAATTCGCACACAAGGAGCAGGTCGGCTCGCTGGAGCTTTAATTTCCACTAACCTCGTGTGGCTGCAGACTGGCTCGTGGTTCTGTGCAGAGATGTATAACCCTACCCAGCTCTCAGGTGGTTGCAGCTTGTGCTCTGGAACAAAGCCTCTGAAGTTTGGTTCTTAGATGCATTTTAAAGACAGTCTCTACCTCAAGGCAGTCTCTCTTAATTCGTGCTGCAGGATTTGGTGTAGACTGGATATCTTACTCCTAGAACAAAAGGAGTACTTTTAAAAGGTGTTTCCTCGTGAAAAGCTGGATTAAATAGGAAAACAGATTTGCAAAAAGTGGATTTAATAATTCTGACTCAATTTCTTCCAGACTTGAAGGGGTAGATTTCAATTTAATTGACTGATTTAATAAAAATTAGTGGCCTGACATCTGTTGGCTCTCAGCAGACTGAGAGAGGTCACAAACTGGAATAGGCTGTGCCTGTACTGGTGGCTTTAACAGTGCTGGCACAAGCTGACACATACACTAGCTAGATTTGTCTTCAACCAAGAGAGCTGTGGAGCCCTTTGAATCCAAAAAATCTTATAAGTGAGCTGGAGCTTTCTTCTCAGACTTCTGTTGAGAGGTGTGCAGTTCCCTGTCTGAAAGGAGCTGCTAATGCCCTAAGACCTCTCTGATTTGAAACCCATGTCCCGTTTTACAGCCTGAGCCTTTTCCCCTGCAGAAAAACGGGGGTCTGGAGGGTAGAGACGGAGATTAATGTATTACTGATCGGCCCTTGCTTTAATTTTCAATTTGCCAAAAGCTGAGGAATTTTGAGTTTCTGTCATATGTATGCTGCGAGGATTGGTCTCAGTGCAAAAACCCTGCACTTGGCCCATGTTTAGCTCTGTGTGCAGCCCTGTTCCTCTGGTGTGGGGTGGGAGGATAAACACTCCCTGCACACAGCAGTAGTGCACAACTGGGGGAACACCGGGGGCATTAACCATACCATGTCAGCGCTAATAACCAATCTCCCCATTTTTGTTCCTCGTCACTGGAAGCTGAAGTGTGGCCTCCTCCAGCCCGGCCTCAGGGCCTGCAGCCCCTCAAAATGGAGGCTGTTTGCCGATACAAAGGCAATGGGCGATGCTGTTGCCGGAGGGCGTTCCCTCGCCATCCCCTGGCCCCTCCAGGCGCTGGTTCTGCCCTGGCCCCTCCAGGCGCTGGTTCTGCCCTGGCCCCGGAGAGCCGAGGGCGATGCTGCTGTGCCGGGGAGGAGGGGCGGCCCGGCCCCGCTCCTCTCTGCCCGGCTCGTCCTTCCCACCGCCGCCTTGTGCAGCAGCACCGGCTGCTACACCTGTGGCGGCACTCCTGTGGCTTCCCCATCGTCAGTACGGCGGGCTGTGTTAGCCAGCTGAGCTGACTGATGAGCTGTCCGTCCTTTATAGACACGGAGGAGTTCTCAGGGCAGTCTTCACATCAGTTCTCTGCTGGCACCACGAGGTGCTGACGCTTGCTTGTCTAAACCGGGAGGGTGCTTGAAAAGGGTGGTGGTTCTGGAAGAGGCAGGTTTGCTTGGGTCAACCTTGGAGCCTTTGTGAAACCTCTGGTGTGTATTTGTGAGCGCGAGTCTGAGCTTGTACTGCTGGAATAGATAGATGCTTCATGTAAGTTCAGAATCTTTTTAAAAATAGAGCTGACTTCCCCTGACAGCATCCACAGTGCAGCCCTGGGGACTTGTGATTCTGCCTGAACTGGAAGAGAGAAGTGGTGTGGGATTGGGATAATTACCTGAAACTTGGAGCCTCTTGGGATTGAATAGCTTCTGTTTGATGCCATGAAACCACAGTACTAAACAGCTACTGCTTGCAGCAAACATTGAACCACGCGTACCTTCAGGTCCCAAGTATTGCCTGCAGTGAATTTGCTCTTTTTTTTCTTCAGCACGTTAAACTATGCTACTAACAGAACAGAGGAGCAGTCTTTATCAGAAGAGACATTGGTCCTACTGCATGAGTTGAACACAAAAGTCAGTGTGAAATCTGTAATAGAGGGCTCTTGCCTTGTCCTCAGTTTACCAAAGCCTTCTGCAAATACCCTCTTACAGTGGAGCTCTTTACACTTTGACTTGTTAAGTTGTAATCCTTTATCTTTCAGATTTCCTGCTTGTGTCTGGCACCAAAACTTTTCACCTGTCTTCTAATTCAATACTTGGGGGTTTTTTGAATGTGGCTTCAACGAACAAATATAACTTTGGGTGAAGGGAAGAATATTAATGTACAGTGTAACTGGGGCTTCTGTTCACTGTAAGGGTCTTTTGACCTGCTTATTAGTGGGGGCATTGTTCTGGTAAGCCATTCCAGGACCCATCCTGCCAGTCTTCTGCACAGGATTAATCATTTCCTCTTGACCTCCTGCTCTCTTTTCCTAACATGTTGCATTGATCAGAATCCTTAACTCACAAGTTTGCTCCTGTTTTTTAAAGAACAGGAGGAAAAGGAGGGGGGAAGGAATGCAAAGAAATTAGATATAATGTCTGCTGTTAACATTCTTAGTAAGCTTTATTCCTTTTTTCCTGCTTGACTCCTCCCTTCTCCCAAGAAAAGAAATCCCTTCCTGGTATGTATTAGCTCCAGATCTCAAGCATCTTGAGTGCCTCTGTTTCACTGGAATTACTTTTTTTGAGCATGCAACTTCCTGCAAGATCAGCTCTGCTTAGAAAGGTCACATTTAAAGCTTTACCTCACTGCAGCTTTCACAGGCTACTGATCTACCACATTAGAGCACTTGGTTAATCTTATCTGCAGTATTTCCATCATAGGCAAGGCAGCATCAAGAATACTGCATGTGACTCTTAATTTCCCTCTAGTTTTGTTTTTTTCTTAAGCCAGCAGAAGGGAAGGTATTTATGGGATCATATAGGGTACCTCCTAGTAGAGAAAGCTGTGTGTTTGTCTTTACCCACATCTTCGTTACACCATTAAGGGAGCTGTTGACTTTAAGGCACAAGGGTCTGCTGCCAGCCGGTCCCAGATTGTATCAGTTACAGAAAGGAAGACTTGTTCTGTTCAAATCACCCGGGTCCCTGTATTCCCTTACTACCTGTCACTGGCAGCTGAACCAGACTTCACAGGAGTAGACCTCTCTAGAATTCAAATTTTACTTGTGCATGACCTAATTGTTCCAGCCCACTTGTGCCCAAGTGTGGTCTGGTTTTGAGAAGGCTGCTGCGCCTTGTGCTTCCTTTTCTAAGGTGTTAACAGCAGCTCCAAGGGAGAGAGTTAAGCTGAAGAAAGGCAGCGGGATAAAAGGAGTCTGTTTCCTGTTCTCATAGAACCTCTTTTCTGTGAGGCTGCATGTCAGAGGTAGTCTTCCATTCTTAGCCCTTGCTCAAGACTTCATCTCCTGGAAATAGATAATTTAATCTGCCTTGTATCTCTGAGCAGTGATGCTGGCTGATAAGCTGTTCTAGGTGCAATGGCCTTGCTCAGATCAGAGGAATGCTAGATGTCTGTATCACTTCCCAGGAGTACTTTGTGCTACTCTGGGCTATCTGGGGATATCTTTGTACCCCAGTCGAGGCTCGGAATGGCTCCAAAGGGCACTGAGCCATGTGACTGACAATGCACAGATTACTGAATAGCAGAACTGACAAAGCTAGAAGTAGACCACGAGCTGGAAAGTAAAACTGGGTATAGTTATCCTGTCAAAAGCAAACTGATTGGGAGCTCTGTCTATGTAGTGATAAATTCATTGTCCTGTGGAGTGGGAGATCTGACTTAGCCCATCCACTAAAGCCCATGGCACCTGAACATCAGACACAATAGCCCTTTGTTCCTGAAGCTGTGGGAATTATTAGCTTTTGTTAACTGCTGGTTTTGGAGGAATCTCCAAATTCCATTTTGTTTCCTGCCCCGAGGAAGTCTTGTGGGACTGTTTTCCCAGTAAGAAAACTATGATGGCTTGTAATGTCTTCTTCCCAGAGCTGTGCGATAGGACCAAGCAAAAAGGCCACATCACAAAGCAGCATTTTGCTGTCACAAAGAAACTGGGGGCAAGAATTCTGAGATAATACAGGACACTTGCTAGCAGAGGAAGCTCCGTGTTTGTCTTTGCTGGCATCATTTTTGTTGTGTTGTTAGGCAAGGTGTTTCTAAAGAACACCTCTGTGAAGGTGGAAGCAGGTCTGTTGTCTGCTTGGTAATGGACAAAGCAAAACAAATGGCCTGCACTGAAGGCAGGTTCAGGCTGATAGCTCTGACACTGTGCATGTGAGGGTTGGAGCTCGGTGGAGGGAGCTGTACATCTTTCCTGCTTCTCCTCTCAGAAGATCCCGTGGGCTGTGGGTGCTTTCAGCCATGCCCAAGACCTTGCATTAAGTAGTTTTTAGCAGCTCTTGGCCACCACACCCGAACATCTAGGCTATTGTCCCTGGCTGCTGCTGCTGCTGGCTGTTGTGCTCCCTTAGCATCTGGCTCTAGTGATAAGGGACGCAGTAGCGAAGATGAGGAGGAATGTGCAGCCACAGAAGGAGGCCTCTTGTTTCCCCCCGTTCCAGCTCCAAAGGTCTGTCTTCCTTTTCCTCAGGCTTCCTTGTAGAAGGCTACAAGGTCCCTTACTGCCATTGGTTGATATCAGATGGGGCCCCTTCAGTTGGGGTGTGGAAGGGGGTAGTTGCATAACAGTCTTCTCTTTTCATGTGTTATCTTGATGATTGTCTTGGCAGTTATTAGCCTTTTCGATCAGGAAAAATAAAGTCTATTGAGTTGTTTCTAAAGCTTCAGCTGTGTGGGCATGCATACAGTTGTTTTCAGCATTGAGACTACATGCTTGCAAAAAAAAAAAAAAAAAAAAAAAAAAAAAGACAGTGGTGATTCTCCAGGAGTTTGTTGTGAATGGTTTCAAGACACAAGGTGTCTTTCCACTTTAAATTCGAAGTCCTGCATCCAGTTCCATTAACACATGGAACTTTTTTTTTTTTTTTTCATGGAAAATTTCATGGAATTTTTTTTCCCCCCACACAGTATAAGCAGAGAAGATCTTTTTCAGTTTCACATGGCAGTCAGAATAGGGCTGAGGTAGGATCAGGGCCAATCAGTCAGTCACACCTGCGTGATTCACACCTTATTCCACTCCCATGCCATCTTCTGCTGAAGAGCACATGACTGACTAGCTGCAGTGCTAGTCCAGCATTTGGCTCCTCACTCTGGTCCAGGGAGTACACCTGAACCCCCAAAGAATTCTAGGGCATTGTCAAGTCTCATTTATAGCTCAAAGAAACAGAACTCTCTTTTCAGGTAAGAAGGTGTCCCAAGTAGCTAGATTTTCTAAGTTTTTCTGGCAGAAGCTGTGTCAGTGCAGTATCCCAATATCCAGAAATAGCCTTATTTCCAGTTTGAAACCAGTGTAATTTGGTAACTGGCCTGTTTGTATGAGAATTATTTTTTAAAACTAGAGATGCTTGAAAGAGCTATTTCAAGCAAGGCCTCTTTTATGCTCTGAACATCTTTTCTCAGAATGTGGTTGTGCACTGGCACAGGTTGCCCAGAGAAGCTGTGGATGCCCCATCCCTGGCAGCATTCAGGGCCTGGTTGGATGGGGCCCTGAGCAGCCTGGTCTAGTGGAAGCTGTGTGCCTGCTCATGGCAGCAGGATTGGAGCTAGATGGTCTTTAAGGCCCCTTCCAACCCAAACCATTCTGTGATTCTATGGTCTTAAACTCCTCTTGGAACCATGGAAGGCAGTACAGCAACAGCCATGAGAGTTAACTGAAGTAGCTTGCAGACCTGATGCAAGCTTTGATTTTCTCTTTTGGAGGGAAGATGCACAGTGGTAGAACCTAGCAGTGGGCACATTCAGGCAGCATGAAGTGAGGGTGATTCTTCTGTGTCAGCAGTGAATTTGAGTTTGTGTGATTAAACCAGAACACTAACCAAGAAAAAAAAATCAGTTGTGTTTTTCTCAGAATGGTCTTGATGAGAAATGTGTGCCTTCTGTAACAGAAGGCTTCTGGTTACTTGTTTTACTCCTTCAGTGCTACCTGAATTGAGTGCAGAAAGGATTAAGATTGGTGCCATCTGTATGTTTTGATTTGGCAAGCAGATTAAGTTTGAGGTTGCTTTCTCCAAGCAATTACCGGTGTGTTTCTTTCAGCGTTCTATTGGTAGTATCTGTTATTAAAACAGATTTAAATATTCTTTCACTTGTCTGAGATTGTTACACCCTTTGAAGAGAGAAGTCTTAACAGAGTGGTTTAGCTCAGTGGACTGTCTGTAGCAGTCCATA